TGTCTTGTCTTGTTCCCGTTCGTTTTTTCTTCTCGTAATGAATGAAAAAAACTGCTGCATCTTTGAAGATCCGGGCAGGACAGAAGCGGACTTTCGCCGCTACTTTCTCTTTTTTCTCCGGCGTCGCCGCCACCTTCTCCTTCTTCGAAGAGATTTTAGCGATTCTTCATAGAGTCCAGTCCGCTTTCACTTCACGTTTTTAGACGCGTTGCTAGAACTTGTTGCTATCACGCAGGCATGCAGGTGACGATTAGCCGCTTTCACTCGCGCATCTATTTATAGTTCATCTCCACGTCGCGGCCGAGCCGCGCGTACGCAAGGGCTGATGCCGGCATGGATGGCGCGCAACAGTTGGCAATAGAGCACGTACAGCTCTTCAAAAATATTCGCTATAGTTTTTTCAAAATCTCAGGAAGTCAAGTATGAATTATCGAATTATAAGTTGTGGGAAGTCAAAGAGGCTATGAATTGATGAAATTTGAAATGACAAATTTGTTTTTCTGAAAAATCGGAAAACTCTGACTAATCTCAGGACAGGGAGGGAGGTAAATTTAGGCGTGAGGGAGTTCGCTTTTGTACAGCCCTTCGTAAAGTTGCACAGGGGCGACGAGGCTTTGTCCCCGTCTCAACGCACGAAAACTTTTTTGGTATTTGTTGTTTCTTGACTTGAAAACTAGAAGTTGTATATCGTACAAATTATGGTCATTGTTCTTTCTCGAATTAAGACCGGTTTATAGGGAAGACTGACTGTAAGGTCTCCTATTTCATGCGTTAACTCCGCTTCCCTGTATCTCTTATCTGTATAGGAATCCATTTTTGCTCTTTTGGTCTTATTTAGTCCTTATTTGCAGTAAAATTAGACTTGCTTAAGACAAAATCGTTTGCTAAAGTGAAAATATGGCCAAACATCCATAGTTCAGGTTTAAAGTCTTATCAGAACTGCTAAATAGACGCCATGTGATGGCAGAGAGTATAGGGTTCAATTCTGGTGACTTACTTCACGTATAAATGGAGATTTACTTTATGTAGCTAGTGAATGGCAAGTCCCTCTACCTGGTACCTGTTCCCTTTTTTGATATTCCAATCTCACTTTCTTCTAATAACAACTTCGAGCTCAGACTTTCAATGTAACATCCTCATCTCATTTTAGCTCTTCAGCCCTTTTCGGTAACAGAACTCAATCTACAAGATAGTTTTTTCAAATACAGAGCATAAACTCGGAATAAAATTGAGCGAAGATTCGTTATCATATTTGATTCACTCTTTTCGTCCTCATTTCTTCGATAATTGCTTTTTAGCGTTTCGAAAATAAATTCTTAGTACTGCGAAAATTGTAGTAAAGAGGCGGTCACGGTAGTTTACAAGTTTTTCTAATTTTCACACCGTGATCACTTTCCCAATAACATCGGTATAATTTTGATTGGGTAATTCCTGAAGGTACTATAAACGAGTTCTTTTCGCGTAAAAAGAACCATTTATTCCTCTAAGTAGTACTCCTTATGTGAGACTTTCAGCACGTGGTGCATAATTTTAGTGTTGTGATGTGATCAGTGATCACTACAAGAATCGACAATTAGTGCAGGTCACGGAAATCAGCGGCGTTTTTGCGCCGTGAGTCGTTCGCTTAGCATCGGCAGTCGTTACTTCAATTTATCGTCATGATTTTTCAGAGTAAATTCTAGAAATCCTTCCTCGAACCATTGCTCCTTTTCTTAGCATGCTGATAAGCTTTCAAATCACCTATTGCCATCTCTCTTCTTCGCCGAACTTTGCTTTGCATGGTGCCATCAACAAGACAATAAAGCACAAAAAAAATTTGCTTATCTCACCTTGTCGATTAAAGAATGACCAGCTATCATTTGTCGTCGTCGCGCATTTTTATGATAAGAAAAGCAGATGTTCTCGTTTGAGCGATCTCACATGTTTTTAAGAGTTCGTCTCTTTTAAGGTGCGACCATTAAGATTTTTTCATACCAGATCGTCAAACTGTAGACTTGTTTTTCATCTCTAACTTATTGTTTGCAATGTATTAATCAGCTATTAGTTATCTACCTTGAAATTTTCACCTATTTTTCTATTATTTAGTGTCCATTGAATTTCGAACCATTAGTTTATTGAAAATAAGGTCATTGGGATAGAAAAGAATTATACAAGTTCGATATGACTGAATATGAATTTATTGATTTTACTTTTGTTTATGTTTACTAGTTATTGCAAACTGTTCGATTATTTGCTTACTACTTATTACTGTAATGCTGCTAACTGATCTATTTATTTATCACTTTTGCTTCATATTTTTGTTCATTAGAAACCGTTCACTTTCGCAAAGTAAACTTGAAGTTGTTTTCTGCTTTTTGCAATTTTGTATTTTGTATTTTATTAGGTTGTAGAGAAAGTTCCCGGGCACTTTTGGAAATTTCATTTTCAAACGCCTCTTTTTGGCGCTCGGTCGGACTTTTACACCAAGTTTTTTATACTTTTCAGTAGAGAGAAGCCTGAAGTTTCAATACCGCTTCTGATTCTATCGAGGCCAAGACGTGTTTGACCTGCACATCAAAAAAGGAAATCTTTCCATTCATAAAAATTTCGCAATTTTTCTTCCTGCGCCCATGTTTCTGTGCAGTTCAAAGAATTTCGTCCAAATCATGAGTGATCTGATTGAGGAACCTGTCGACTTCTGACCCAC